TGGGGACGCTGCTGCTGCTGGGAGCTCTGGCCCGAGCCAGTGCCTCCACTCCGACCTCCGCCACCACCACTACCACCGCTCCGACCGCCACCGCCACCACCGCCACCACCGCCACCGCCGCCACCGCCGCCGCCGCCACTACTGCCACTGCTTCCTCCGCCGCCCCCGCCTCCACCACCGACCCCACTCCCACCAGCGCTCCCGCCACCGCTCCCTCCAGCACCGCCTCCCCCCCCACCTCCCCCACCTCCTCCCCCCCCAGCGCCACCACCACCACTTTTGCCCCCCTTGCCCTTGCCGGTGCGGCGCCTCCCACCAGGAGTAGAAGCAGCGCCAACAGACTCAGCACCAAGGAAGTCAACAGCAGCAGCAGCAGCGTAGGAGGGAGCGAGGGGAGAGGGAGAACACCCCTCAAAGATGGGGGTGCGAGGAGCGCCACGAGCAGCACCGACAGCTACAATGCTCTTTTCGGCCGCGAGCAGGTGCTCCTCTAGGAGGGCGACTGTGAGCTCAGTGGGACAGCGAGCAAGGAAGTGGTCTCGAACTGAGCGGAGGGTGTCAGGGAGACGGGTGACTATGAAGTGGAGTGTCCAGTACAGTGGAGGGGGGTTCTTAGCGCAGAACTCGGTGGGAAGGGCAGCACGCAGGCGAGCATCACTAGTGCGAAGGTGGGTGATAAGATCGGCGACTGTAGTAAAGGTGGACAGATCGGGGAACAGGTACGGCAGCATGAGGCGGCTAAGCTCGGCTGTGGCAGGCGAGGAGTAGCGAGCGACGACAGCATCGTACAGGGCCTTAGCGGATTTGCAGTCGCCAAAATGCTCGAGCTCAGCTAGCGGGAGGTGACTGCGAATGGCTAGGCGAGCAGCTGCGTCACGAGTCTGCCAGTGGGAACGAACACTAAGCTCGGCTGTGGCAGCAGGAGCAGCGGCAGCACCAGACGCGTAGTCATAGAGGGAGATGTGGTCCGTGCTATTGCTCATAAGATACAACTGCAGGTCGTCGAGCCAGGAAGTGAACTGCACGGGACGGCCCTCAGCATCGAAGGAAAGAACGCGAATAGAGGCCATAGCTCAGGCGTGAGGGCACAGCAGAGCAGCGGCAGCAGCAGAGGGGACACGCTAGAGCGAAGCTAGTAGCCACAGCAGGAGAAAGCGGCAGTGCACAGGCAGGGAGCAGCAGGTGAGAAGCGCGGCGGGCGAGCTGCGAAGCGGGCAGCGGTGTGGGCGGGCGACGCAGCAAGCGGGCAGTGAGGCAGCGGGCGGCGCTGCGAAGCAGGTAGCGGGCGAGCGGGCGGCGCTGCGAGCGGGCAGCGAAGCGGGCGGGCGGGCTGCGTAGCGAGCGGGCCGCGAAGCGGGCAGCGAGCGGGCGGGCGGGCTGCGAGCGGGCGGCTCGGCGAGGGGCGCGCGAGGGCGCTAGTGAGGGGCGCGCGAGGGCGCTAGCAAGGGGCGCGCGAGGGCGCTAACGAAGGGGCGCGCGAGGGCGCTAACGAGGGTGCGCGCGAGGGCGCTAACGAGGGGCGCGCGAGGGCGCTAACGAGGGCGCACGAGGGCGCTACGAGGCTAGGGCACGGGGTAGCGTGGTAACCGCATGCGAGCGGTGGTGGGCCCTTAAAAAAAACGGTCGGTAGGTCCTAGGGACCTCCTGCTCTGAATACCATCTCAGAATAACTAGGCAAGAATGAATGAACTAACAGAAGTTTGGGTACAAATATGAAACCCTAGTTGGGGTTGTACCCCATATTGGCTACCCCACTACAGCCTACAAGCATAATACAGTTTAACATATGGTCGGGTTATTGGCTTACAAGATGGTGCACAACTCGATCTATAAGGTGGCGTTCCGTACTGGATACGGCTCCTACGAGTACTTGGTGATGAAGTTCGGACTCTGCAACGCACCATCAACGTTTTATGCGGAGATGAATCATATCTTACGGCCCCTGCTGGACGACATTCTCATCTACTCCAAGAATATGAAGGAGCACGTGGAGCATCTGTGGAAAGTATTCGAGATCCTGTAGAAGAATAAGTTATACGTGAAGCTGTTTAAGAGTGACTTCGCCATGAAAAAGGTACAATTTTTCAGGCACATGGTGAGTGGGATGGGCGTACATGTGGACCCGCCGAAAATCGAGGCCATCAAATCGTGGGAAATTGATGAGAACGCGAAGGAGTTGAAGCAATTCCTAGGCTTTGCCAACTACTACAACATGTTCGTGCCACAGTACACTAAAATTGTAGTGCCATTGACGAACTTACTGAAAAAGGATACGCCCTATAAGTGGCTTGCACTTTTAATACGCACTATTTATTCTTCACGGGGTCACCTCAAAGGTCCTCGGGTGCCTGGCAAAGCCAGCCCCTAACCAAGGGTTCGTGTTTGTTGAATGGTTTTCCCAAGTGTTAATTTTTTCGTGTGCACTAAAAGTATTCCGGATGTCAATTGCGCAGCGTTGACGATCGATAGGTGCGTATACAAAATAGCTCATCGCGTCACTATGCTGCTAGAGCAATTTTCATTCACAAAGTGTTGATACAATGAAATGCAAGCACACAATTTACATTTCACCTAACACGCATGCAAAGGAAAATAGCAAACATTTGGCAAACTGCATTTCTATGACTTTGCTAGGTAAGCAACGAAAACGGTTGTTCATCATTTGTTGCGTGTGGCTTGATTCGTCTCGGTAGGAAAACCACATTTTAATAACATGTCCCCCAAACGCCTCTGCTAAATCCATTCGCGAATGCACATGTAGAATCATAAACGCTCGTGTGAATTACCGTTTTCCCATTGTAAAACAGAATTTTATTGTTTTGTACCTGAAATGAAATCATCGCGTTATACATGCAACATTTTTAGCAAAGATTGTTGTTCACCACGTCAGAAAAGACGAGACCCCAACGAGTCAATCCCGAGCACCCCGGAACTTACGAGCACCCCTCACATGTGCAATTTGCACGACCAGACAAACAAGTCGTGCTTTCTTGTTGCGATCATGGGCCTTTTGCCCTTGCCCAACAATGTCCAGCCGCACGCGTGGGCCCTAAGGACCCACAAGCGCGGTCCAGATTCTCGCGCCCATAACAACCTTGATTTGCGCGAAATATCTTAGGAATGAAAACACTCGCTTTCCTCTCATGAACACAAGTGATAACTCATGACAGAACAAATATACTATCATAAACGAACATGATGATCGTATATGATTGCTTATGAACGCTCATGAACGTACACAAACAGCACGCAAATGCCCATGAATGAGCCGCGAAGGTCCATGAACACACATGAATATTCAAAACTTCATGAAACACCACGAATACCCATAAAACTTGAAACTCCTCGCATTCGAACATGAAACACACACGAAACAAACACGAACAATAATGAAAACTCATGAATGCAACCTCACTTTTAAATGCACATAACTTATGAACTGTTAAGGCGATTCACAAACCGTAAACATCAAAATGAAACGCACACAAATGCACTTCGCACACACAAAAAATTACCTTAAAACAGGATCCCTTAAATTTCACCTTACTCGACGAATAGGCGATCGGTTGGCGTGCAAATCATATTTTACACCCAACACTTCACCCTCGTGATTCGACCGCTGGACACCTCTCGCCTGGACGCCTTGTGATTCGTCCACTGGGCTGCCCTCACGACACCTCTCGCCTGCTCCACGTGTTTATGTGCTTCTTTGAACGCCTTTCTTTCACGCACGCACGCAGGCGCGCACGCACACACACACACACACACACACACATACACACACACACACACGCACGCACGCACGCACGCACGCACGCACGCACACAAATTATCCATTCATCTTGTTCTCTAATACACCCTCCCTCCCTCCCTACCACGCCAAGATCCACCGGGAGCGATTCAGCCTCGTGATTCATCCCCTGGTCTGCCCTCTTGACATGTCCCGCCTCTCCACGTCTTCATGGGCTTCTTCGAACGTCCCTCTCTCCGCAATGCCCAGCGTTCCGATCTCACCGGCACTCCAGTCAAACCATTAGTGCTATTGACAATGCATCACAAAAAACCCCGCGCCAGCTACATTGTAGGGTCGTCGAACCTGCTTGGGAAATCCGACGCAACCACATCGGATCCGAAGTCACTGTACTTACAGGTTCTCCTGCAGGCAAGCTACCTCGAACCCCACTACGGGGTGCAAATAGGGTTACCAGAATGTACAGACATACAAACAAGTACAGTACACTCATTCGAAACAGAATATATCCACTTCGCCGCCACCCTGATATAAGGTCCACACTAGCCACTTTGTAAGTTCAGAGCAAGTGCACTATGATTGATCCTGACTAGCTGCAATGTATCCCCATTGTATCTCCAACCAAATTACATACTAATTTCCAACAGTGGTTCGTCCAGTGGCATGCCACCAATTTTTGTAACGCTACGACGGCAACGTTGAAAAAACTACACTTTATTAGTCAACCACCTCACATATAATGCCAGGCACAAGGCACACAAATCAACTCTAACTACTCATGCAGCCATCGTACGCAGACCGGTCGCATGAGGCCTACGAGACCCTGACGGGAAGTCACGGTCACAAACCTCCCTCGCCACGATCTCTACCGGCATGTTAGCAACATCCTCAGGAGGGGGAAAGAAAATGTACACCTTGTAGTGTACCCCCTCACTGAACTGCCATGCACTCTCCTCCGGAATCCACCGGGGTCCGTGTCCCGTTCTGTGCTGCCTAATGATCGAGTCACGCATCCAGTTGCGCACAATGGCGCAATTCCGGTCCGTGTTGTGGATGTTAGGCTGGTCCTTCGTGGGCAGTCCTGTTTTGTTCTTCGCGCTGTGGATTATGGGGTATTCTGCCTGCATCCGTGCGGGTTTGGAAGTCAAACAGCACGCGGGCAAAGTCATGGGTGAACATGTAATTCAGCTACGTGGTTACAAATAAGTCATCCCATGATACAACGATGAACATTGCTGCCATGCCGTGGTCAGGATGTGGGAACAACGCATTGAACACGATCGCATAAAGAAAATGGGGCCGAAATCGATCTCACCCCATACAGTGCGAAGGCAATGTTGTATGGATGGAGGCGCAGCGTCTGGCGCTCGATGCAGCGGTGATATGCTGCCGCGATGAAGATCTCGAACTGCCACGTGCTGAACGGTAGGCCATCATCGTTGCAATGCCATGGCAGCGTGAAGGAACCTGTTGGTCATTTGGGGAGAGGATATGAGGAATCTGCTGTGAAACGCAGTAGACAACCATGGCAGAACACAAGGGCATACACGAACAAGGGGATAGGAAGAAGAGGGTGCACCAGCCACGGATCATTTATATCCACCCACTCACCCAAGGGGCAATCTTGGAGTGCCTTGGCGGGTGTGCGCTCCTTGTCGCACACAACAAGATCCCAAGGAACGTCGTCGGGCATGTCCGACACGCTGCGAGGGATCCCAAAGAAACGTAACACAATAGTTTTTCCGTAGCGAACTGTCTCCCCACGCAGGCGGGAGGCCACGTCTTTCCACGTGTCCTTGTGCTCCTTGTCATGCTTCAGACAGAAAAGCAACTTATCCTTCTGGTTTTCACACCATTGTTTGCAGCCCACGTCACCACTGTCTCCAGGTCGGGCCACATACTTAGCCCGGCATCTCCCGTTTGCTTTCCCAGCGTGATGCAGCGCTGAAACACAAGCACATATTGGGGCTGAAAGCATCAAAGACAGAGGGAACGTACACAACAGGAGGGCAAGGGATAGTGTTAGTCCCACCAATGCTGTCACTGCCAAGGCCCGAGCCCATCACTCAACGCATTCACAGGAACATTGCTGCATTTAAGTGCAATAATGCTACCACTCACCGAGAGTTTCTTGGGCTCCACAAGAGAGCCCAATGCGACCCTCAGCTCAAAGGCGTGCTGCCCTTCATCCGGTGCGTTGCTGCCCGCGTTTGGAGAAAGGACACCCGTGTTGGTGCGCGAGGGTGACGACTGCTCTGCAGGCGTCCGCAAGCCCGTCAGCAGGGTTGAGTTGGCTTCCTGCAGGGCGACGCTATTCTTCAGCACCTCCTTCAGCTCGACCAGCACCAATGTTTGCGCCTTGACAGCCTCTGCAACGTCCTGGAACTGATTCTGCATCGCGTGAACAGCTACAAGGAGGGTATCGTTGCGATCCTCACCCCACCCGTACTCCCGCAGCGGCCTTGACTCGCTTGGCTGCTCGGCCACGTATGCCCCGCGTCCACTGAGACGGTTGACATCACCAACCCTATCTGTGCAACAATCAAAACAATGCTTAAGCAAGGAAGGACAATCCCCACCAACAAAACACAACGCTGACTCAAAGCTGACTTCTTACCTGATGCTGTGTCATCACCGTCGCCCGCCTCACGCCCAGCAGCCACTTGCTGTCGTCCGGGCCTGGGTGGGCCCGGTAACCCCCGCTTACGACCTGGCACGCGGAGCACATACGCCCGTAAGTAGGCACTGGAGATTAGAGGTAACTAAACCATTAAGACAGGTCTAAAGCAGACGAACCTGCGAGCGGTGCCACCGGTTTAGTTGCGGGAGTGCTGACCGGCAATGGACCGCGCTCGGTTGCAAGCAACGTCCGTTGATCACTAGTGCCGACCTCTGTGTAATCTGCATCATAAAAACACTCAAGTGGAATATGCTAACACTTGGCATAACTTTAGAACACGCACCATTCGCGACAAAATCAAACTTACCTTGCCCTTCAGCTTCATTTCCATTTTCGTCGTCCAGTTGCAGCATCCCTCTGCTCCTCAGGTACGCAAGGTAATCCCTGTGCTCGCCAACAGTCATATTGATGTTCCGTGTGGCGCTGTCGTTTTTGCGTGCCTGCCTCGGAGTCCGTTGTTGCCCATTGTCCATCTCGTAAGGTATGTAGCGAGAGTTGGGTCTAGGTATGCGTTTCCCATACGATGGTTCCGCCTCCAGTACCCTATCGTTCTGCTGATCAGACATGGTCGACTGAAATCTCCTAGACCGTCTAGCCTACAATATAGGAGGCTAGAAACCAAGCATGGCATCGTGCGTGAGTCGCAACCCATTATGTAGTACTAAAAAAGCGTCACGGGTGGGTGTGTTTGCGCGTGGAGTTGTCGCTTTGAGTAGAGGGTGGAGCATACGTAGTAGAACAACACTTGGGCTAGGGTTTGAGTTCGGACGTTGCAGCTGCAGTGGTTCAATGACGATCCAGTGGGTCGATCAATGACCAATCGACCTGCTGGCTGTTGCCACGGTTGCAGATGAAAAGTTTTTGCGCACATCTGGTCCGTACATGTGGTTGGGTCTGTGAACATCCAACGGCAACCCACAAAAACACGGATGTGTGGTCACAACCTGCTGCTAACGTTGCCAAAAACAGGCTCCCGAACTCTATCCATCTAAGCTCGAAACATCCGAATGCCCACGATCCCTGCACCTCCGCCTCAACCAATTGCCGTGACCGACTTCAAACACAAAGCATTTGTGCCCACTACCAATCGGCAATCCCCCTCGGCTAACATTTCGCTGCTCTACTTTGACGGGGTAGCGTCGATGTATAACCAGACGCATGACGATCAACGGCGCGGGCGTTAGCACTAGGCTCATAAAGCTACATCGTTTGCATCTTGCGAGCGTCCGAACAGGCTCATCGTGTAAGTATAAGATAGCCCACCGCCGTGCTCATGTTCAGATAGGCATTTCTTACAGCCCATCCTTCTCAGTCTAAGCACCATTATGAGTACTCCTTGCAAGCCCGAGCCTAGGACAACCATCGTTGTCGAGGACTCCCAGCCCAATCCAGTGTTGCCCGACAGCCCTAAGTATGGCGACGAGCCACCAAAGCGTGAACCGTACGTGTGGGACAACTCTGACGACGGTGCTGCCGGCAACTTATTCGTAAATGGGCGTATTCCGCGCCCGCAGAAAATTGCCAGACTCTCCCGCGTGGCGCAGGCGTCGGACCACGACGTGAAGAACCGCACTAGTGACAGGTCGCCCAAGCGTAAGCTAACGCGATCGTGCATTGATGAAGACTCGCCCTTCAAGCTACGCCGCGAACAGGCGGCACCCCCGCCGGTTGCAGCACCAGCCACTTCGGATTCTAAGAAGTGCACCACGTGCGAGCTTACTGAACGTAAGTATAAGTCTGTTAGCCTCGCATTTAAATGGCTATGCAGATCGGGAGTAGAACTGCACGTAATCTAACGAGTCATTCCGTGTCTGGTGCCTTGCAGTGTTCTTCGGCCCGTCCCCACCCAAGCACGATGGTCTTAAGTGCTCCTGGGATCGTTTTGACGCCTGGCTCGCCATGTCTCAGCAGCTCACTCCTTGCAAATGGTGCAAGTCCCACCATCACTCAGCGTAGGGTGTGCTCAACTGTCGCGGGTGGTTGGGACATAAGCGTGATAGCTCGTATCAATATGGAACATGTTGTTGCACTATACCCAACCATCAATTCCAGTTAGAACCAGCAAATGTTAGAGTTTAGTTTATGTTGTATGTATCAATGCTAAAATGGCATCAAATACTTGACCTTGTAAACAAAATCGTGCTCCACGTATATTACCCATGAAAAACTGTACCCAAGTTTTTGCACCACTTCATCATGGTATTGCATGATAAAACGAACATTGGTTAAGGGTCTCTCTTAAACAGGTCACTTGAAACCCTCAATAGCGCATATTTGACTTTGTCGCGCAAGTCGTTGCTGCAACCCTAATCCCCGATCGTACCATGCTGCAAAGTCAGGACTGAGTCAGGGGTAGACGTGTATGCATCGCTAGCAATGTCTGGTCGATTAAGAGCCAGATCGCGCCCACTAAGTGCGGGGAACGTCATGTTCCTACTCGCCGTCCTAATCGCCATTGCTATCGCGGGTGTTTTGAGATGCAATATCTGTACGCGGAATTTCGATCATAGCACCGCATTTGCCGGGCACGCGAAGCCCGGCTCGCGATGTTAGAGGGCGGAACCCATCCGCATCCCTGATCGGGAAGCGTCTGCAATTGGGGGACCATCAAGCGGTGCGGTGCGACGAAATGCTGGGAGTGACAATGATGCCGACATCCAAACTCTCCCTGCCGCGCCGGCTCGAGATGGCCACGCGCAAAGACCAAACATATCGCGAACACGTGCGGAAGCAGAGAGGTTAGCATGCGAGTTCGATACCAAGCGAGAGATGTACCGATTCATCAAGTCTTTTAGGAACGGAGTCGGGATGACAAAAGCCGAGGCCAAGGCGTTGTTCCAACTACTCAACCACTCGAAATTTGACAGGGAAGCTGTCTCTGGCTGGAAGGGGATGCGTGATGTGGATAGATATGCAGAGGAGGTCCTTGGAAAGCACCATGGTACATGGAAGAAAGTCATGGTGATGGTAGAAGGCATGACTGAGCCTGTCGAGTTGGAATACTGTGACACACTGGAGGTATGTTAGTTTTCCTGTAAGTCGCGAGCATGATTTCGGTCAGTGCATTATACAGCAATCATGGATTACTGATATCAGTGGCTGATTGATCTTTCAATCTGTCTTTGACTGATATCAGTGGCTATTACATACTTCTAACAGTCATGTTTGACATCGGGCATAGCATGATACCTCAGACTGCATGAAACATCACAATGTATCATACAAAAGACTGTATGATACAACAGACCGTACGGTGTGACTTACTGTATGATACAACAATCTGTATGATACCACAAACTGCATGATACATCAAACTGCAAGACACAACAAACAGTACAATACAACTGTCAGTCAGACACATCAAACTGCATGATACCACAGCATGCATGATACCTCATACTGCATGATACCTCATACTGCATCATACGTCAGTTTGCATGATACCACAATCATGCAGTTACCTCAACCTGCCTGGTACCTCGTCTATCCCGCTTCACATGGCAGGCAATCCGGACGATTTTTGGGAGTGCGGAAAATGGATTGGATTTCCAGCTGCGCCCTACGGTTGTACTTGGACCTGACCAAAAGCCCCTCTTCTCGCGACCAGAGACTGGACTTTGGTGGAAAAGTGCGCAGGTGTGTATACTGCTTTATGACCCTATATGTCCTCCCCCTAGTACGGTCGATGCAGTCCTGGCTGACGATCAGACCCTGTGTCTCACAGGCTGAGTTGCCAAACCCCCGAGGAATTGTAGCAGGCATTATCGCATCCAGTGACGTTACCCATCTGAGCCACAATGGAAGGCAGAAAGTATGGCCTTTGCAGCTCACCCTTGCAAATATCCCAAGGGAACATCGCTGGAAAGAATCCGCAAGGGCATTGGTAGCACTGCTGCCATTGCCTGACGTGGATCTGCCGTCAGAGGTGAAAACCAGGTTGTTCAACAAATGCGCAGATATAGTTTTTGGGCCTCTAATGTTGGCGTCATTCGAGTAAGTAATGGTACAAGCATGTCTCTGTTCTACGGTGTCACGTTGACAGTAGCTAACAGTCATAAAGGCCTGACCCATACTCACACATGCGCACATGATGTTGGCAGGGGTGCTGCCATGCCTGATCCGCACGGCGTCGATCGGATAGTATACCCGTTCTTGTATGCGTACATCTGTGATTACCCTGAGGGCTGCAAGGTAACTGCGACGATGCAGCACGGATCGGCCAAACCATGCTCGATGTGCGAGGTTCCACAGGAGTATCTGAATTGCATGGACCGCCTCTTTCCCACACGACGACCTGAAAGGCAACGCAGTTTCATTTTCGACAAAGACATCGCCTTGGGCATGGGCACGCACCGCGTGGAGGTATGCGGGTTGACTATTTGGGGCGTTGTGTGTCACTGTTTGTTTGGATTCTTATCATGCTCCGTGACTGGTGCAGTGCTGGCTGTGGAAGTGGAACAAGTCGTGGAAACCATGGGGCAACCCTTATGCATGTATTCTCCCAGATGTGCTACACGTGGTTGACATAGGCCTTTGGAAGCATATTCTTGAGCAGATTCGTGAGTCCAACTCTCCTGGTTTGCTTGCCATAATGGACAGGTTAGTGCCCACCGACCTTTCAAACACGCCGCAGCTACTGTCCGGTCTGATTCTTCTGTTTCTGACAGCCTGGATAATGAGCATGACTCGTGCTTTGGAGGCGGCATGCGGTACTGTACAAGGCAGCCAGGGCAGCCGGTATTAAGCTACCAAAGCCTGGGAAGTATTTCAGTTCTGCAGCGAACTACGCTGCTGCAGAGCACCGAGCGATGATGCAGGTTTCTGTGTTTGTTTTCGATGGGATTCTGACGGCATGTGAGATGGAAGTGATTATGTGTTTCCTGCAGTGGTACTCAGCGTGCTTCCGTGTTTCGGAGCACAGTGACGCGTCTATCAGCGCTGTAGTTAAAAAGCAACAAAAGTGAGTCACCGCAGAAGGGGCCAAGTCGGTCGCACCCACATTTCCCGACCAGCCATCATTCACGTGACCGTGTCGGTGTGTTTTCACTGATCACCCCCATCTCTCCTCCCACACCCCCCCCCCCTCCCCTCCTCCCCTCCCCTCCTCCCCTCCTCCCCTTGTTATCCCAGTCTGATCGCACTGCTGAAAAGGGAGTTCCCGCACCAGAAGTCCAAGTGGAACCTTATTAAGGTGCATCAACTGTGTCATGTGCCATACGCCCTCGAAACCCGTGGTGTTCCCGAGGAGTATTCGACAAACCTGTCTGAGCACAGCCACGTGGCTTTGGTCAAACGCCCGTACCGGTCTTCGAATAGGAGGCAGATTAATAAGGCGATAGTGTCGGCCGACGACGTCCGCCGAGCCATGCGTGCTTTGCCATCCACGATGCAAAGCGATACCAAGTACAGGACCGCAATGGCAGAAGTGAGTGCACGCAGTGTCAACGCTCTGTTTTGTAACGGTTCCACTTACAAGGTTTAGGACTTTTGGTGGGTATACCCTGGCTGGCGTTTAAGATGATGTTGTTTGGGTTTCCGGACACCTTGGGCAATGACCATCCCATGACCGTTTGTGTGATCATTCAGGCTTTGCTTACAGGTCAGCCAGCGCTCACACGTGGCTCAACCGGCATGGCTATTTGTGCCAAGGACAATGGCACGCGAAAGGACAGAGAGCTGTGGAATTCCTACGACACGGCTTTGCCTGGGTGCTTTGACCAATTGGAGGGCGCTGTTCGACGCGGTGGCTTGACATGCACAACTGTACAGGTAAGGCCTTCACCCCACCTGCTTGACGCTCTTTTTTGCCTCTGTGCACACCTGCTGAACCCCGACTCCCTACCTGACCCCAGTGCTGCCATGCTTCATCCACACAACCCCCCCTGAATCCTAAACTCGCAAGCGAGATAAGTAACCGCCATGCTTAATCTCCCACTCACCTGCCACATCCCAGCTCTGCTCCCATAATCCCGACTCACCTGTTCGTTGCCTTCTCCCTTCCGATCACCCTATTACATGCATTTTCTGGACTGCGCTGCCTAAGCCCTTCTGCCCTGTTCTGCCATGACTTTACTTCCCTTTCATAATGCCAACTCACCCACGGTTTAGTGATTCCTGTGCTGTTTCCCAAATACAATGCATAATCCCCACGATCATGCTCGTTCCAATGAACCAAGGCTAAGCCGTCACTATTATGCTTGATCCCTACTCGCATGGTTAAACCCAAATAGCAAGCTTGATCGCTACTCCCCTGGTTTAATGCAAATAGCTTGCTTGATCCCTACTCCCATGGTTCCCAAAGAGCATGCTTGATCTCTAGTCCCGTGGTTAAGCACTCGTAGCATGCTTGATCCCTACTCCCATGGTTAAGCCCAAATAGCATGCTTGATCCATTATCCCATGATTAAGCACAAATAACATGATTGATCCCTACTCCCGTGGTTAAGCACACCTAGCATGCTTGATCCCTTGTCCCATGGTTAAGCACACGTAGCATACTTGTCTGCCTACTCCCATGAATTAGCCGTCACTGTCATGCGTGCTGCCTACTGCCATGGGTAAACCATCACCATCATGCCCATTCCCTACTCCCATGGGCATGCCCAACTTTCAGGCTTGATCCCTACTTCCTTGGGTAAGCCGGTACTGTCATTCTTGATCCCTCCTGCATTGGTTAACACGAAACCTTTATATTCGATCCCAGCGCTCACTCCCTTTCCCGTTTCACTAACTTTGATCCCAAATGTGCAGGTGCATACCGCGCTGGCCATTCCTGGCCCCGAGGGACCTGGAGGTAGCCGTGATAACAACGCATGGGTTCGAGCCTCCCCCAGCTTCCACGGGAAGCCCTGCTTCTCCTTCGTAAAGATCGTACATGGCTCGGTGGAGTGTCTGGCTCGTGTGATGCTGCTTTTCAGTGCAGATGATGCACAGAAGGAGGGATTTGCATTTGTGCAGGTGATGCGACGCCTCGGAGTGGACCCGAACACTCGTTCTCAGGTGTACAACTTCCCGGTGGGCGCAGATGAGCACGCCGGGTTTGTAGTTGTAAACGTGGAGCAGATATGCGAGGTTGTGCAGGTGATCCAGTCGTTTGTGCGTGATGATTGGTGGTATCTCAGCGAATACCTCTTCGAGTAGATTAGGACGCGTTTTGTTGTTCGTTAAACCGCGTGCCCACAGATCTTGTATCCGGGCCTCATTGTAGACCGTTAATTCCCGCTTTATTTATTCGTCGTCGTGTTTGTGGGAGGCAACAGATGCTGTGGGCTTAACTTCCATTCTGACGGGTTTGTCTTACGATCATCCAGGTTTTATGGGGATGCCTTCGTAATGTAAATTTGGTTCATAAACAATGAATATGGTTTTTTTATTTTGCAGTTGGCTGTAGCGAGGCAGCCCAAAGTTAGCAAACGCCTTATGTTTGTTCTGATTGGTCGATCGTAGCTGTGGTTACCGTAGACTGATCGCGTCACTAGTTTCAGCTGTGCGAAGTAAGCGTGTTCCCTTATGCGCGTGATTGCTCCAACCAGCGATTTTTCTCATTGGTTGGCTTGGTTTAGGGCCTGTCTTTATATAAATGCGTTACTAATTGTGTCATTTGTGCGCGTTTCGTACCGGGCCTCGAACCAGATATGTTCAGTTTGTAGGACGATCGGGGTTGCGAAACGGGGGCACGTCGAAATGCGCTGTAGCATGCTGGATTCGACTGTTCAGGCAGAGTAGGGTGTTTGTGGAGCCCTTGTGGTTGGTGGGGGTTCTTTCGCCTGTGAGACCTTTGGGACGGGATGCACAGATTGGCCGAAGTGGTTGCTTTGTTCCAATTCCGTAGCACGAAAGAATGTACCCAGTCCGTTGGGGGCTAGGCTCGGAATGCCAGGTGGGTACGGGGTCGCCCGAAACTGCCTGCGCTGTCATTGCATCGAGGTTGTACGTGGTCCAATCCCAACGGCGATGAACCAACATCCTTGCCAGCCTGGCCAAATCTTCTGTGCATTGACATCGAACCCACTGCATGCATACTTCGAAGTACCCACTCCCTTGCCCGGTAGCCCAACCCCAACTCTTGCAATTTTGGGATGTGCATGCGCATCGGATAGTAACTTCTCGCACGGAGGTTCAGGTGACGATTTGAGTGGCAGTTCAGGTGACGCCTCAGGTGCCAATCTAGAAGATCCTACAGGAAACGCTTTTGAGCCTACTTAAAAGGAAACGTTACAAATGCTGCTGCAGCGGATAGTGTTTCAGAAGATATCATCTCAAAGGGGAGTATTTCACGCAAGTCAGAATGACAAGTGAAGCTAGGGTGTCACGGCCCTCCCTGTCCCTCCTTCGGCTCCTTCACTGCCTGCTTCCCCAACGTGTAGGCCTGCTGGAACCCCGAATTCGTGGACGAACCCGATACTGAAGCCCCCCCTATAAACTGCCCCCTTAAGGGGAACAGTGCAGGGCAGGGCAAGGGAGGGGTGCTGTTTGACGAGACGTGCTCGCACAAGCAAGACTTCACGCCGCACGGGGCGGCCACGCATCAGATGATGCGGCTGGAGGATGTGTTTGGGACGAACGACGCGTTTGCTCTCAACCGCTCGCACCTCTTTGTGCGAAACGGATGCGCGCACTTTTCGGGAACGGCAGTGAGCGCCTGTGGGGGAAGGGTTGTGGGGGGAGGGTTGTGGGAGGAGGACTGTGAGGAGGGTGGGTTGTGTAGAGGGAGATATTGCTTAGGTGCCTTAGCTATGCCAACTGATCACATGCTTTCGTGCAAAACAGGTGCTCGTGCTTCCCGGAAATGGCGGTGAGAGCCCTGTGGGGGGAGGACTATGAGGAGGGAAGGGTGTGAGTAGAGGGGTATGTGAGGAAGGAGGGATGTCAGGAGGGGGGTTTATGAGTACGTAGTGTTGTTGAGAGGGAGCTTTTGTTTAGGCACCTTAGCTATGTCAACCGCTCACATGCATTCGTGTGACATGGGTGCTCCCACTATTTGGGAATGGTGAGAGGGGGGTTATGTGGCATGGTGGGATGTGTAAGAGGAAGGCAGTTGGTGTTGGAGGAGGGCTGAGAATGGGTTTGCTCTCAACCGCTCACATTTCTCTGTGATGAATGGGTGCTCGCGCTTCCCGGGAACGGTGAGAGTTTTGTGGGGAGAGGGCTGTGAGGGTCACATTCCCTTAAATGGTGAGAGCTCTGTGGAGAGAGGGTTGTGAGGAGGTAGGGTTGTGAGGAGGGGGGGGTGTGGAGAGGGAGGGGTGTGAGGAGATAGTTCTCCTAACTGTTGCTTACTTCATCCCTCCCATTTTCTTCCCTCTCACCACCAGCTCCAGTACGACGCGGGGCACGCGGTGCACGAGCTGCCGACAGCAGTGTTCAACTGGGCGGCCCATGCTGGCAACAACTTATACTACTTCGTCGTGTCCTCCCCCCCTCGCCCTCCCGCCCCCTCTCCCCTCGTGTTCAGCTCAAGTACAACGCAGGGCATGCAATGCACGAGCTGCCAACGGGTGTGTTTAACTGGGCGGTGCATGCTGGCAACTACTTCTACCACTTCCTCGTAAAGCCCGTGCCCATCTTCCTTGCCGCCGCACCTCTCATGACCTCCACACTGCACCACCTGCCTTTGCTAGCCAGGGACGTCCAGGTGGGTGTGGTTTGATTCGAGCATCGCCTGTATGAAAGCCCTTGCTTGCGCCACCGCCCACACTGCGCCACCTGCCTGTGCTAGCCAGGGATGTCGAGGTGAGTGGGCTGATTCGAGCACCGCCTGTAGTGAGGCAATCTACTAGATGCCTCAAAGAATGCGCTTCTTATTCGTCCACACTGCATGGCGCCACCTGCCTGTGCTCGTTCACCAAGGACGTTCAGGGGGGATCCTGAGAATTCTAAACATCCTCAGGTGGGGATCTTGAAAATTTTGAACAATCTCGGTTGGGGATCTTGAGAATTCCAAACAATCTCGGGTGGGAATCTTGAGAATCCAAACAATCTCGGGTGGGGATCTTGAGAATTCCAAACAATCTCGAGTGGGAATCTTGAGAATCCAAACAATCTCGAGTGGGGATCTTGAGAGTTCCAAACAATCTCGAGTGGGGATCTTGAGAATTCCAAACAATCTCGGGTGGGGATCTTGAGAATTCCAAACAATCTCAGGGGGTTCGAATTGAGCAGTACTTGCGTGGAAGCTCTTGCTTGCGCCATGTCCACACAGCACCACCTGCCTGTTCTCGCCAGACATGTCCGAGTGGGTTCGGTGCGGTTGGAGCAGCCTTAAGATGACCTACAATAGCTGTTGCAGGGATCACTTCTGCAAGGCAGGGTCACTGCTAGGCCGATCTCTTTTCGGTTTGCAGCCGTGCATTTGTGCGGTTGGGGCCTCTCGCCCGTCATCTGCTCTTTCGTTTCTAAGAATTCTAAAGAACCAGCAGTTCTCATATCAATCATTGCCACCTCAAGATTTCCTCTCAATGGATGCTTAGAATCCAGGTGTATTTTGAGACGACTCCAAGTTTTTCTAGAATCCGTGCCTAATCCACCTCCCTTCTCTCTATGCGAGTGCGTTTTTACGTAGCGTGTCGTGAAACTCGACCACACTTCTTCAGAGTCCCATTTCAGCCCGTGCACTCCCTCACAATTGATGTCACTCGCACGCCCACACCCCCACCCCTCTCCCTCGCAGTCCGTGCCCTCTTTTCACAAGCAAGCCTCTACGTAGCTGGCCATGGCACGGGCCTCACCAACATTACCGTATTCTCCCGGATAAAACACCCCCCCATCATTGTACACCCCCGGGTAGCTTGTGCGGGGTGGGTGTTATATTTGACCCCGTTAGTACTATACCCCCCCTTTTGCGGTGATTTTCTATAACACCCTCCTTTTCTTATAGATTCCTATTATAGCTGTTATCGAGTCCAATTCCTTACGGGAGGATATCGCGAGAATCGCTCCCTAGACGAAATTTTGCTTGTGCTTTCACTTCGAATCTGCCGACATTCCCCCCCTCCCACAATCTCGCTGTCGCCACGCTGGCGAATCTTCCGCTGCAAGTGGCCCGAGGTGAAACTCACATTCTCACATGAGGCACAGGGAGGTGAGTCGTGACCAAACCAGTCAAGGAAGTGACTGGTACAGTGACAACGCACCACCATGCGCGATTTCGGCCTCGGCGGAGTTGCCCACTGGAATTTGCCATGTGGCAGATTCCAGTGGGCGGTCACGGTATCCTCGCATACTCGGTTTTGCGGAACTGATCAGCAATCTTGAAGTGAAGTCAGACTTCTGATTTTGTTTCACATCTTTTCTGCTTTATAAAAAGTATACCATATAATAAGACCCGGGTATTATGTAGGATTTTCCGTTGAGGAGACCCCCCCCATTTTTTCCCAATGGTTTTCATAATACCCTAGGGTGTTTTATCCGGGAGAATACGGTACCTTCATTCAGGACTCCTCCCACCTCTCCTCTCCACCTCCATGTTGTCCGGACTCCCTTCCGTCCACCCTCCCATCCTTCTCCATCCCAGTCCGTGCCCTCTTCTCATGAGCACGCCTGTACATAGCGGGTCACGGAGCGGGCCTGGCCAGCATGGTGTTCATGCCGGAGCAAAGCTCCGTGCTGGAGATTCGCCCACAGGGTTGCCATGTGATCGTCTACCATGCTCTCGCCAGAGCTTACTCCCTGCGCTACCACCTTGTGCTCAGCAAAGGCGATTGGTTCTCCCCGATTGTGGCTAATATGACACGTGTCGCTCAGGTGATTGATTCAGTCCGTGGCAGGCCCTCAGATTGGTTTTGGGGCTAGGCTGAAAAATCAGAGTTGGTACAAAAATTTACTCTGAAAATCAGAGAAAAAAACCATTGTACACTAGAAACAAACGGCAATTTCCCATTTTCCCTAAAAAAAAGTCTGATAATTCAGCCTTGGTACAAAAAAAGAGTCTGAAAATCAGAATTTTTTTTGCCAAATCAGAGAAAAAAGTCTTGACTTCTGAGGGCCTGGTCCGTGGCCAGATTCAAAAGGAGGATGGTGAAGGTGTGTCACTGCACTGATCAAGCCCAATAGGAATATGTTTTACGGTTTCCTCGAGGAAAGTGGGATGGCCAGAGCAGAATGTACATCCTGGCTTCAAATACAAATGCAAATATAAATGTAAAACCTTCCCTTGCTAATGAACAACAGCAACTCCACATGTTGTATTATACAGGGTGATTTCCAACCCCACCCTGACCTCCATTATCCTCAGTTTGAAACCTAGCATGTATTCCATCCAGCACCCGAGCCACACTTGTCACATTGGCCACCACAGTGGACAAACAGGTACCCTGGCTGAACACGAGGTGGTATCGCAGCGAGCAGGCAGAGGCAAGGCCATTATAGACAGGCACGGGGCATCCCTGGGGGCGAATCTCCAGCAGGGAAGCCTTTTCCGGCATGAAGATCATGTTGGTGAGTGCGGCTCCGTGGCCCGCTATGTACAGGCGTGCTCGCATGAGGAGCGCACGGGCTGAGAAGAGGATGACGGGGGGGAAGCGGAGAAGCGGAAGAGGAGGATTTTGGAAGGGAAAGTGGGGAGAGTCTATTTTTGACGCGCCTCAAAGATGGAAGCGGAGCGGAGAAGTGGAGGGAGTTATGGAAGAACGTCATCCTGGTGAGTGGAGCTGGATGGTGGGAAGTGGAGACGGTTTGGATGCACCAGCAATGCTGCTTTGGAGAAAATTCTTGAAGACACGGGGCAACCACCCAACATCACACGCCTCACCTTGCAAAATCGACAGCGACCCATCAAACAGCACCACTCTCTCGCGCCCAAACCGCCTCACCACCTCCTCCTCCACCTCTTCGAAATCCACTATCGCCCGCTTTCTCCCTGTTGGCCGCTTTGCCAGCACCACCACCCAGTCGGAGGGGAAGGAGCGAGCCTCGCGGGCGGAGAGAGGGCGGTGGTTACGGAGGGTCCAGTCGGGGTTGAAGAGAGGCACTCCGGAGGGGTGCAGCAGATGGCGGCGCCGCAGCGACTGCCAGAGGGCTCGGCTGGCATGGTGGCAGTTCTGATAGATGGGCTGGGGAAGTGAGGGACGAGGGGAGGGAGAAGCGGGGTGGGGGAGGAAAATTGGGAGAAAGTGAGAGAGGAAGTGGTTTGTTGCAGTCCTGATATGTTGAAGGCGGGATTATGGATCAAGCGGGGGGCAGGGAAGGAGTTGGGGAGGGAGATGGTATGGTGGCAGTTTTGGCACATGGGCTGGAGAACAGGGGGAGACCAGAGGGGTGCAGCAGATGGGGGAAACGGTTGAGAAGCAGGGAGGGGCTGGGGAATAAAGATCGAAACTATAACTTTGTACGCATACATACATATAATATATAGTTGAAAAGAAGAAAAGAAAAGAAAAAGGAATGAAGCAGAAACCTGGATACGGCTAAAGACGTAAAAAACTCAAACCTCAATTCAATCTCGTGTGCCTATCCTACCCATTGATGGAATGGGCTATGCCCTTCAAGAAAACTTGGCATACATACTTTGGATAAGTGACACACATACCTATATGGGTCCTTCATTTGTCTTTGCCACAGCTTGTCACATTCTTCAGTTTTCAATGACTTGCACACAGTGTTGTATGATGTGCACATTACATGCCTATGTTTATTGGACGTGTTGCAAACACTCTCTTTTATGTGAAAAGATTCGGCTGGAAATTTTCAGACAAAAGCAGTTCACAAACTTTACCGAAATATAAGAACTTATGGCCGATTAGGCTTTTTCCCTTGAACCAAACACACCACGTATGCATGGCATGGCGTGCATGGTTTACCTGGTACATCATATTAGCATGCGTGGATGCTTCACCTGATGCACCACATCCGCATGAAACAGGTCAATGAGGCTGGAAGTGGGGGTCATGCGGATATGATTGGGTGGAGTTTTGAGGCCCCTCAAAACCTACCTGTTACACCACCAAAGGCCCCTCAAAATCTACCTGTTACACCACCATTAAGGCCCATCAAAATCTACCTGTTACACCACCATTAAGGCCCATCAAAATCTACCTGTTACACCACCATTAAGACCCCTCAAAATCTACCTGTTACACCACCATTAAGGCCCCTCAAAATCTACCTGTTACACCACCATTAAGGCCCCTCAAAATCTACCTGTTACACCAACATTAAGGCCCCTCAAAATCTACATGTTACACCACCATTAACCTGTTACACCACCATTAAGGCCCCTCAAAATCTACCTGTTACACCACCATTAAGACCCCTCAAAATCTACCTGATACACCACCATTAAGGCCCCTCAAAATCTACATGTTACACCACCATTAAGGCCCCTCAAAATCTACCTGTTACACCACCATTAAGGCCCCTCAAAATCCAAATGTTTCACCACCATTAAGACCCCTCAAAATCTACCTGTTACACCACCATTAAGGCCCATCAAAATCTACCTGTTACACCACCATTAAGGCCCATCAAAATCTACCTGTTACACCACCATTAAGACCCCTCAAAATCTACCTGTTACACCACCATTAAGGCCCCTCAAAATCTACCTGTTACACCACCATTAAGGCCCCTCAAAATCTACCTGTTACACCAACATTAAGGCCCCTCAAAATCTACCTGTTACACCACCATTAAGCCCCCTCAAAATCTACCTGTTACACCACCATTAAGGCCCCTCAAAATCTACCTGTTACACCACCATTAAGGCCCCTCAAAATCTACATGTTACACCACCATTAAGGCCCCTCAAAATCTACCTGTTACACCACCATTAAGGCCCCTCAAAATCCAAATGTTTCACCACCATTAAGGCCCCTCAAAATCCAAATGTTTCACCACCATTAAGACCCCTCAAAATCTACCTGTTACACCACCATTAAGACCCCTCAAAATTTACCTGTTAAACCACCATTAAGGCCCCTCAAAACCTACCAGTTAAACCACCATTAAGGCCCCTCAAAATCTACCTGTTACACCACCATTAAGGCCCCTCAAAACCTACCTGTTACACCACCGTTAAGGCCCCTCAAAACCTACCTGTCACACCACCGTTAAGGCCCCTCAAAACCTACCTGTCACACCACCCGTTAAGGTCCCTCAAAACATACCTGTCACACTACCATTACGGCCCCTCAAAACCTACCTGTCACACCACCGTTACGGCCCCTCAAAACCTACCTGTCACACCACCGTTACGGCCCCTCAAAACCTACCTGTCACACCACCGTTACGGCCCCTCAAAACCTACCTGTCACACCACCGTTACGGCCCCTCAAAACCTACCTGTCACACCACCGTTACGGCCCCTCAAAACCTACCTGTCACACCACCGTTACGGCCCCTCAAAACCTACCTGTCACACCACCGTTACGGCCCCTCAAAACCTACCTGTCACACCACCGTTACGGCCCCTCAAAACCTACCTGTCACACCACCGTTACGGCCCCTCAAAACCTACCTGTCACACCACCGTTACGGCCCCTCAAAACCTACCTGTCACACCACCGTTACGGCCCCTCAAAACCTACCTGTCACACCACCGTTACGGCCCCTCAAAACCTACCTGTCACACCACCGTTACGGCCCCTCAAAACCTACCTGTCACACCACCGTTACGGCCCCTCAAAACCTACCTGTCACACCACCGTTACGGCCTCTCAAAACCTACCTGTCACACCACCGTCACGGCCCCTCAAAACCTACCTGTCACACCACCGTCACGGCCCCTCAAAACCTACCTGTCACACCACCGTTACGGCCTCTCAAAACCTACCTGTCACACCACCGTCACGGCCCCTCAAAACCTACCTGTCACACCACCGTCACGGCCCCTCAAAACCTACCTGTCACACCACCGTTACGGCCCCTCAAAACCTACCTGTCACACCACCGTCAAGGCCCCTCAAAACCTACCTGTCACACCACCGTTACGGCCCCTCAAAACCTACCTGTCACACCACCGTTACGGCCCCTCAAAACCTACCTGTCACACCACCGTTACGGCCCCTCAAAACCTACCTGTCACACCACCGTTACGGCCCCTCAAAACCTACCTGTCACACCACCGTTACGGCCCCTCAAAACCTACCTGTCACACCACCGTTACGGCCCCTCAAAACCTACCTGTCACACCACCGTTACGGCCCCTCAAAACCTACCTGTCACACCACCGTTAGGGCCCCTCAAAACCTACCTGTCACACCACCGTCAAGGCCCCTCAAAACCTACCTGTCACACAACCGTCAAGGCCCCTCAAAACCTACCTGTCACACCACTGTCAAGGCCCCTCAAAACCTACCTGTCACACCACCGTTACGGCCCCTCAAAACCTACCTGTCACACCACCGTTACGGCCCCTCAAAACCTACCTGTCACACCACCGTCAAGGCCCCTCAAAACCTACCTGTCACACCACCGTCAAGGCCCCTCAAAACCTACCTGTCACACCACCGTTACGGCCCCTCAAAACCTACCTGTCACACCACCGTTACGGCCCCTCAAAACCTACCTGTCACACCACCGTTACGGCCCCTCAAAACCTACCTGTCACACCACCGTTACGGCCCCTCAAAACCTACCTGTCACACCACCGTTACGGCCCCTCAAAACCTACCTGTCACACCACCGTTACGGCCCCTCAAAACCTACCTGTCACACCACCGTTACGGCCACTCAAAACCTACCTGTCACACCACCGTTACGGCCCCTCAAAACCTACCTGTCACACCACCGTTACGGCCCCTCAAAACCTACCTGTCACACCACCGTTACGGCCCCTCAAAACCTACCTGTCACACCACCGTCAAGGCCTCTCAAAACCTACCTGTCACACCACCGTTACGGCCCCTCAAAACCTACCTGTCACACCACCGTTACGGCCCCTCAAAACCTACCTGTCACACCACCGTTACGGCCCCTCAAAACCTACCTGTCACACCACCGTTACGGCCCCTCAAAACCTATCTGTCACACCACTGTCAAGGCCTCTCAAAACCTACCTGTCACACCACCGTTACGGCCCCTCAAAACCTACCTGTCACACCACCGTTACGGCCCCTCAAAACCTACCTGTCACACCACCGTCAAGGCCCCTCAAAACCTACCTGTCACACCACCGTCAAGGCCCCTCAAAACCTACCTGTCACACCACTGTCAAGGCCCCTCAAAACCTACCTGTCACACCACCGTTACGGCCCCTCAAAACCTACCTGTCACACCACCGTTACGGCCCCTCAAAACCTACCTGTCACACCACCGTTACGGCCCCTCAAAACCTACCTGTCACACCACCGTCAAGGCCCCTCAAAACCTACCTGTCACACCACCGTCAAGGCCCCTCAAAACCTACCTGTCACACCACCGTTACGGCCCCTCAAAACCTACCTGTCACACCACCGTTACGGCCCCTCAAAACCTACCTGTCACACCACCGTTACGGCCCCTCAAAACCTACCTGTCACACCACCGTTACGGCCCCTCAAAACCTACCTGTCACACCACCGTTACGGCCCCTCAAAACCTACCTGTCACACCACCGTTACGGCCCCTCAAAACCTACCTGTCACACCACCGTTACGGCCCCTCAAAACCTACCTGTCACACCACCGTTACGGCCCCTCAAAACCTACCTGTCACACCACCGTTACGGCCCCTCAAAACCTACCTGTCACACCACCGTTACGGCCCCTCAAAACCTACCTGTCACACCACCGTTACGGCCCCTCAAAACCTACCTGTCACACCACCGTTACGGCCCCTCAAAACCTACCTGTCACACCACCGTTACGGCCCCTCAAAACCTACCTGTCACACCACCGTTACGGCCCCTCAAAACCTACCTGTCACACCACCGTTACGGCCCCTCAAAACCTACCTGTCACACCACCGATACGGCCCCTCAAAACCTACCTGTCACACCACCGTTACGGCCCCTCAAAACCTACCTGTCACACCACCGTTACGGCCCCTCAAAACCTACCTGTCACACCACCGTTACGGCCCCTCAAAACCTACCTGTCACACCACCGTTACGGCCCCTCAAAACCTACCTGTCACACCACCGTTACGGCCCCTCAAAACCTACCTGTCACACCACCGTTACGGCCCCTCAAAACCTACCTGTCACACCACCGTTACGGCCCCTCAAAACCTACCTGTCACACCACCGTTACGGCCCCTCAAAACCTACCTGTCACACCACCGTTACGGCCCCTCAAAACCTACCTGTCACACCACCGTTACGGCCCCTCAAAACCTACCTGTCACACCACCGTTACGGCCCCTCAAAACCTACCTGTCACACCACCGTTACGGCCCCTCAAAACCTACCTGTCACACCACCGTTACGGCCCCTCAAAACCTACCTGTCACACCACCGTTACGGCCCCTCAAAACCTACCTGTCACACCACCGTTACGGCCCCTCAAAACCTACCTGTCACACCACCGTTACGGCCCCTCAAAACCTACCTGTCACACCACCGTTACGGCCCCTCAAAACCTACCTGTCACACCACCGTTACGGCCCCTCAAAACCTACCTGTCACACCACCGTTACGGCCCCTCAAAACCTACCTGTCACACCACCGTTACGGCCCCTCAAAACCTACCTGTCACACCACCGTTACGGCCCCTCAAAACCTACCTGTCACACCACCGTTACGGCCCCTCAAAACCTACCTGTCACACCACCGTTACGGCCCCTCAAAACCTACCTGTCACACCACCGTTACGGCCCCTCAAAACCTACCTGTCACACCACCGTTACGGCCCCTCAAAACCTACCTGTCACACCACCGTTACGGCCCCTCAAATCCTACCTGTCACACCACCGTTACGGCCCCTCAAAACCTACCTGTCACACCACCGTTACGGCCCCTCAAAACCTACCTGTCACACCACCGTTACGGCCCCTCAAAACCTACCTGTCACACCACCGTCAAGGCCCCTCAAAACCTACCTGTCACACCACTGTCAAGGCCCCTCAAAACCTACCTGTCACACCACTGTCAAGGCCCCTCAAAACCTACCTGTCACACCACTGTCAAGGCCCCTCAAAACCTACCTGTCACACCACCGTTACGGCCCCTCAAAACCTACCTGTCACACCACCGTTACGGCCCCTCAAAACCTACCTGTCACACCACCGTTACGGCCCCTCAAAACCTACCTGTCACACCACCGTTACGGCCCCTCAAAACCTACCTGTCACACCACCGTTACGGCCCCTCAAAACCTACCTGTCACACCACCGTTACGGCCCCTCAAAACCTACCTGTCACACCACCGTTACGGCCCCTCAAAACCTACCTGTCACACCACCGTTACGGCCCCTCAAAACCTACCTGTCACACCACTGTCAAGGCCCCTCAAAACCTACCTGTCACACCACTGTCAAGGCCCCTCAAAACCTACCTGTCACACCACTGTCAAGGCCCCTCAAAACCTACCTGTCACACCACCGTTACGGCCCCTCAAAACCTACCTGTCACACCACCGTTACGGCCCCTCAAAACCTACCTGTCACACCACCGTTACGGCCCCTCAAAACCTACCTGTCACACCACCGTTACGGCCCCTCAAAACCTACCTGTCACACCACCGTTACGGCCCCTCAAAACCTACCTGTCACACCACCGTTACGGCCCCTCAAAACCTACCTGTCACACCACCGTTACGGCCCCTCAAAACCTACCTGTCACACCACCGTTACGGCCCCTCAAAACCTACCTGTCACACCACTGTCAAGGCCCCTCAAAACCTACCTGTCACACCACTGTCAAGGCCCCTCAAAACCTACCTGTCACACCACTGTCAAGGCCCCTCAAAACCCACCTGGTACACCACATCGGCATGAACCAGGTCGTTTCCAGATGTGGGCAGCAGGCGAATCTGATCGAGTGGGATGCCTATGAGTGGCAAACCCAGTTGCTCGTACATATGTACCTGTGGGGAGAGGCATGGGATGGAAAGGAAATGACAGGGAATCCACTATTTATTTAGTCGACTCTATAGATTCCAATGAGTGGCACACCCAGTTGCTCGTACATACGCACCTGTGGGGAGAGGCATGGAGATGAGATCGGTATTTTTTTCTAGTCAACTTAATGTATGTTCATGAGTGGCGCACCCTATTGCATGTTGCACACACTTGTGGGGAGAGGCACATGAGATGGGTATATAATGGGAGTGAGATGGGCAGAAGCTGGGAATGGGATGGACATAAGATGGGAGTGAGATGGGAATATGACAAGAATGGGATGCATGGATGGGATTGCCCCATCTCTGACCTTGTTTGCACGTTGTAAATCAATACGAAGGACCGTTTCAGATGGGAATATTACGAGAATGGGTTGGGAATGAGGCGGGAATGAGGTGGGAATGAGGTGGGAATGAGATGGGCATGAGGGTTTAGGAATGGGAATAAAATGGCACAAAGTGGCTCAACGCTCTTCACAAGTGCTGCTGCAGGTGCACAATTCTCATAAATGCAACCTGCTGCTTGGAACAAGTCTTTTTAAGAGTCAACTAAAAGATAGACTTATCACGCAAATGCAACCCGCTGCTGCTCGAAACAAAACAACACCTGGCTGCCCAAGGCAGGAGACTTGAATCATAGTTGACTGAAAAATCGCACAGGTGACTTCTGAGTCGACTCAAAAGTCACACAGTCACCCAAGGCGAAAGTCACATTGTCACATCTCAATCTTTTCATAGTTAAGAACTTGCACAAGTGCAGGTGTTCAAATAAGCTGTCGCCGTGAGGATTGCATGCAGGAGCTTCAGTAGAACCCCACCTCGCCGCGTCTGACAAGAACAGGCAGGAGCTTGCTTTAAACCCTGAACCCCACCTGGCCTTCCCTGGCGAGCACGAGAAGATCTCGCAGCGGGGAGGGCGTGAGGGGCGCAGCGACGAGGAAGAGCGGGAAGAGCTCGATGAGGAAGTGGAAGAAGTTGCTGCCAGGTTGGTGCGCCCAGTTGAACACTGCTGTTGGCAGCTCGTGCACCATGTGGTTCGCCTCGAATGTGACCTGGTGAGAGAGGGGGGGGGGGGGGGGGATGGGGGGGGGGAGTGCAGTGAACAACACAATGGTTGAGTGGGGCCTACCAAAATGGGGGAGGAAGAAACACAGAAATGGCAGCTCGTGAACGAGTGCTGGCGAAACGGGCTGTGTCCTGCATCAAACGTGGGCTGGTGGTGGAAGGGGAGGGAGTGTTTGATGCGCATGGAATGGAACGAGTCTAAAATGCAGGGTCCTCAACAAAGCCGGAGCTGGATTGAACGCTGCTATTGGTTGGTTGGCTGTACACAATGTGTGAGAGCACATGAGCACATGAGCACACGAGGATGTGAGCGCACCAGCATGTGAGCTCATGAGCACACGAGGATGTGAGCGCACCAGCATGTGAGCTCATGAGCACACGAGGATGTGAGCGCACCAGCATGTGAGCTCACGAGCACACGAGGATGTGAGCGCACCAGCATGTGAGCTCATGAGACACGAGGATGTGAGCGCACCAGCATGTGAGCTCATGAGCACACGAGGATGTGAGCGCACCAGCATGTGAGCTCATGAGCACACGAGGATGTGAGCGCACCAGCATGTGAGCTCATGAGCACACGAGGATGTGAGCGCACCAGCATGTGAGCTCATGAGCACACGCACGCACACAATGCTCTCACTGCGCTCAGGAGGCATAGGCATGCACACCCGGCCCTCACTGAACGCACGTGCTGCGTGCAGCTGAGACAAGTAATCTTTGAAGCCCTTGGAAAATACTCACTCTCTACTCAACCCTCCCTCCGCACCCCACTCTCTCACCGTTCCTGGGAAGTGCCCGCATCCATTTCTGACGAACAGGTGCGTGCGGTTGAGAGTAAACCCATTGTCCGTCACAAAAACATCTTCCAGCCGAATCATCTGCAGCGCGTACGCCCCGTGCACCCCCATGTCCTGCTTGTGCGAGCACGTCTCATCAAACGGCACCTCCTTCTGATTCCTGTCATCACGCCCTGTGCTGTCCGTTTTAAGCGGGCAGTTTATAGGGGGGATGGTTTCGCTCATGGGTGGGTCGACAAGGTCTGGGTTCCAGCAGGCCTGCACGTTGGGGAAGCGGGCGGTGCAGGAGCCGAAGGCGGGGCAGGGAGGGCCTTGGCACCCCAGCTTCACAGCCCATTTTGATCCTCCCGTGGAGCTATCACCTGAGAGACTCTCTTGTGAGGCACTTTCCTCTAAGGCACTCTCCTCTGAGGCACTCCCACTCTCTATTGAAGCACTCTCTACTGAAGCACTCTCCACTGAAGCACTTTCTACTGAAGCACTCTCTACTGAAGCACGCTCCACTGAAGCACTGTCAACGGACGTGCTTGACTTGCTTCCTATATGATCGCCGCTACTAGATCTGCTCTCCAGGTTGTCCAAGGGGAGGTGCTCGAAGAAGTGGAGGAAGACGGTGGAGAGGCGAGCCGTGGAGAGAGGAAAGCCCAGCGGCCGCGTCACGAGGCTCACTCGCTCGGGGTGGGTTCTGGAGGAGGGATGGGAGGCGAAGATGGAAAGAGAGAGGGAAAGAGAGTGAGAAGGCGTTGGGCGTGCGACCCGTGGAGAGAGGAAAGCCCAGCGGCCGAGTCACGAGGCTCACTCGCTCAGGGTGGGTCCTGGGGTGGTCGGGCGGGTGGGTAGACGGGCAGGGGGGAAGGTGGGAGGGTGGGAGGGCGAGAGGGCGAACTAGTATGCGTGGAGAGAACGAGTGTAACGCCTGCGGACTAGATGTAGGATTAATGGATGCCACCGATGCGCCTCTTAACACCCCCGTTTGACCCAGTCGGCATTATAGTGAGAGTTATCCAAACGACCTGAAAAACTTCAGCAAATACCCACCAACTGGCCTATATCCAGTGATCTAACCCCTTCAGGAACTGTCTGGGCACTTGACTGAAAAGGCCGAGCCAAATTCTTCGGGAAGTATTCATCCCAGAATTTTCCCCTGCAAAATCCTACCCCCATTTTTCCTCGAGGTTACCCGCCAGGCTGACCTAAATCGCTGTGGCGAGGGATAACGAACTGACCCGAAGAAAAGGTTCAGATCTGGATTCGTCCACTGACCTGATTCGTTCTGGCAGGTAGTAGTTGAGCTCGCTTTCGAACTTGGCCACCTGACCCGCGAGATGGAGGCTCGGCGATTGCTGGCCGTTGATCGCTGCTGGGAAAAATCACGGGGGATCGAGGGGAAGGGGTGGAAGTGAAAACTGGCAGCGGGTGCTACTATTAGAGTGAGAGAATTTTCAGGCGCCTCAAAAGTGGCTGCGGATAATACTAAAATTAGGGTAAGAAGATTGTAAAGGCGCCTGAGGTTACTACCATTACTAGGGTGAGGTGGGGAGATTTGTTAGGCGCCTCAAACGTGAAAAAAAGGGTTGCGGTTACTAGGGTGAGAGGAGTTCAACAAAGGGAAAAGAGCGGTTGCTGTTCTATTAAGATGAGGGAACTTGCGCCGTGAGAATGGACTGCGCAAAACAACCACCTATTATTAACGTGAGGGGACTTTAGAGGAGCTCTAGAAGTGAAATCATGGACGGCTTTTACCACTGTTAGGGTGAGGAAACATTTGAGACCCCTCACTGAGGGTTTGCGGTTACTTGGGCGGAGAGACTATTGAGGCTTCTCTGAAGTAAAATGGGCTGCGTTTACTATACCACATTAGGACGAGGGGAGAGAGTGGAGCAGCGGGCAGCGTCGCGTACATGCATTGACGGAAATCGTCAAGTCGACGGCGACAACCACCCACAACAGCCAGCGGCCAGCGCGTGCCACCATCATCTTACTAAGTCCGTCAAGATCATAACAGAAGAATGGCAATCGCGAGAAACTGCTAAGCGCAGTAGTGGCTGAAAAAAGGCCACCATTCTAGGTCATCGTCTGAGGTGTCCTCGCTGGACTTTTTTGCGAATGTGACAACTTGGCGCATTCGCAATCAACGCCTTGAAACGAAGACTTTCGATTGGGTTGACACGTCGCATGGTGCGGGCCTAGCCATGGATGACTGGCAGAGGAATGCTGCGCATTATCAGCGATGCGCGGTCAGGTCGCACATCAGGAGGCGCTTCAGGAGATTCACCTGGCTGACACAGAGTGCCTCAATCTGTGCAGTGCTTATTGCTACAGTACGACGTTGTAAATAATCGAGATTTGAAATTGGGGCTGAAAATCATCGTCAGAACCAACTGTGGCTCCTTCGTCGCATCGCGATTCGAGACTTAGGAGAAGCCTTTCCTCGTCATCAAGAGAGACTGAGGGAAAACCTAGGTCATGACACCGAGGCTGCCTAGGCCTTGCATGGCTGGGTGGGTTAGCGAAGTCCTCGCCCCTCCTCACCAGCGAAAAGCTTGTTATTTTGGTAACTTTCGACACAGGGAGCCTGGTTCCCCCATATGCGCGAAGAACCCCCAACCCAAACCCCGCCTTGTGTCCCGCCGCGAAGATATCCCCCCACCTGACGACTGAAGATGCGAAAACATAATGTGAAGCGACAGCCGCGGACCGTGGCGAAAATCGAGATGAGGAAAGGGTGGTTTTGAAGTACTACTATGTCTTGATTGGTGATTGGTAACTGGTAGTACACCTAGTCACCAATGAATTCTACATCCTCCTCTTGTTTCAGGCGCACATGGGTAACTATCCTTGCTTTGTCATAACCTTGGGATGTGTGGAATGCTTTATTTTTTGGAGTGGGAAATTTTCCGGATCCCTCGAGAGAGTTGAATAGCGAGGGAAATTCACAACGAAAAACAGGCCCTTAAGATCGGTTGTTGTCTTATGCTCGCATTGCACCCCCACCCCCACCTCCAGCATCCTCCATTCGAAATCTAGCCCGGATTGAATCAAGCACCCGAGCTACACTAGTCACATTAGCCACCACAGTGGAAAAACAATCACCCTGGCTGAACACGAGATGGTACCGCAGCGAGCAGGCAGCGGCGAGGCCATTATAGACAGGCACGGGGCATCCCTGGGGGCGAATCTCCAGCAGGGAAGCCTTTTCCGGCATGAAGATCATGTTGGTGAGTGCGGCTCCATGGCCTGCTATGTACAGGCGTGCTCTCATGAGGAGCGCACGGGCTGTGAGGGAAAACGTAGGTTAAGGAAGGGATGGAGATGAGAGGGGGTGTTGGAAGGGAAAGAGGACAGAACTGAAGTGGAATGAAGGGTGGATGAAGTAAACAAATGTTAAATTGATGAGAGCATATCAGTGGCCTGGTATGCAAATCGGGGCGCCTGAATGCACAGCCTGTTGTCCCGGATCATGTCTGCAGGGTGTGAAGCCTGCTTGGTTTTGAGTACTAATTTTGAGAAACCAGTAATGATCATGTGGGTGAACGGATCAAGTGGGAGAACGGATAAGGTGGGTGAACGGATCAGGTGGGAAAACGGATCAGGTGGGTGAACGGATCAAGTGGGAGAACGGATCAGGTGGGTGAACGGATCAGGTGGGTGAAAGGATCATGTGGGAGAACGGATCAGGTGGGAGAACGGATCAAGTGGGAGAACGGATCAAGTGGTTGAATTGATCCATATCCTGTTCTGTTCTGAGGCGCCTGGATATCATGCCCTGCTGTGTGGATTTGCGTCCGTAGAAAAAGTGGTCTCAAGCTGGGAGAGAGCAATGAGACGCATGACAAAGAGGAAGAGAAGGGTGTAGATATGAAGGACTTAATGTATGGAAGTCAAAATGTTGTGACCGGCAAGGCAGCGTGGGTTCAGATTCGAGGTGAGGAGATTCGGTCAAAAGCAGCCCAGGAAATGGAGCACCAGACAGCCAACCACATAGACCGAGGAGTTTGTTTGTTTCTTTTCTTCTTTCTTTTCCCTTTCTTAACCTCTGCTTGAAGAAATGTTCTTGATGCGGCAAATGGTTTCACCTATGTATATACACCCCCACGTATACACACATGCGCATGTACATATGTATATAAGAACATCTTTAAACCCTGCGCAACTCTCACCTTGCAGAATCGACAGCGATCCATCAAACAACATCACTCTGTTGCGCCCAAACCACCTCACCACCTCCTCCTCCACCTCCCGGAAATTCACCAACGAGCGCCGGCCTTCCGGTCGCTTAGCCAGCACGACCACCCAGTTGGGGGGGAAGGAGCGAGCCTCGGCGGTGGAGAGAGGGCGGTGGCTGCGGTAGGTCCAGTCGGGGTTGAAGAGAGGAATGCCGGAGGGGTGCAGCAGATGGCGGCGCCGCAGTGACTGCCAGAGCGACCGGCTGGGGTAGCCACAGTCTTGGAACATGGGCTGAATGGGGGAGGGAGAGGGGACGGGGGCACGAGGGGAAGTTTTTGAGGCGCCTCAGAAGCCAGAGCCTTTGAGGCGCCTCAAAAGCCAGAGGGAGCGGCCGGGGCAGTCACAGTCTTGGAACATGGGCTGAATGGGAGAGGGAGAGGGGACGGGGGCACGAGGGGGAAGTGTGAGAGGGGAGATGGAATGGAATGGTTGCAACCTTTTCTCTCGAGTTTGATTATGTTGGGAGCAGCCATTGCCTCCAAATGCTATGCCTATAATGCTCGGATTATTCTGACTGCAATCTTGCTCTCTCTGCACAGCTCAAGTACTTGGAGAAAGGTTGAGCTCGGTCAGGCCAGCACTCAAGGAAACTCAGAAGTGACCCCCAAAATGTTTTCAGATCTGATGTGATGTGCTTTACCTGGCACACCATTTTTGCATAAGACACATGCTCCGTTACACCACACATGCGTGGCATGCATGCATGCCTTATCTACCTACCTGGCAAATCACAGGTGCATGGCATGCCTTACCTACCTGGTACACCACGTCTGCATGAAAGAGGTCATGTTCATATGTGGGCACGAAGCGAATTTGATCGCGCTGTATGCCAATGAGTGGCGCACCCCATTGCTCGTACATTTGCACCTGTGGGATGAGGCATGCGAATGAGGCATTGGGATGAGGCATGGGAATGAGGAACAGGATTGAGGCATGGGAATGAGGCATGGGAATAAGGCATGGGGATGAGGCATGGGAATGAGACGACACTTGGTGGGACAAAGGGCAAACAAGAGTTTTGGCCACACGCTTGAGTCTGCGGCACAACAAGTGCATGCAGCAAAGGGGTGCACTGCAGCTACAACAGCTGCCTGCTGTGAGGTAGAAGTGTTGCTGTAAGCGGTTGACTTTCGAGTCAACTCAAAAGTCACTGCACCTGCAGCAGCTGCTGGTCGGAATGGCATGGGCAGTGAGAGTGTTGCACGTAGCTGCTGGTCGGAATGGCATGGGCAGTGAGGGTGATGCACGTAGCTGCTGGTCGGAATGGCATGGGCAGTGAGGGTGTTGCACGTAGCTGCTGGTCGGAATGGCATGGGCAGTGAGGGTGTTGCACGTAGCTGCTGGTCGGAATGGCATGGGCAGTGAGGGTGATGCACGTAGCTGCTGGTCGGAATGGCATGGGCAGTGAGGGTGTTGCACGTAGATGCTGGTCGGAATGGCATGGGCAGTGAGGGTGATGCACGTAGCTGCTGGTCGGAATGGCATGGGCAGTGAGGGTGATGCACGTAGCTGCTGGTCGGAATGGCATGGGCATTGAGGGTGTTGCACGTAGCTGCTGGTCGGAATGGCATGGGCAGTGAGGGTGTTGCACGTAGCTGCTGGTCGGAATGGCATGGGCAGTGAGGGTGATGCACGTAGCTGCTGGTCGGAATGGCATGGGCAGTGAGGGTGTTGCACGTAGCTGCTGGTCGGAATGGCATGGGCAGTGAGGGTGTTGCACGTAGCTGCTGGTCGGAATGGCATGGGCAGTGAGGGTGATGCACGTAGCTGCTGGTCGGAATGGCATGGGCAGTGAGGGTGTTGCACGTAGCTGCTGGTCGGAATGGCATGGCAAGCGCTTGATTCAAACCCCACCTGGGCACCCTAGCAAGCACGGGTAGGGTCTGCTGTCTGCCAACACGAGGAGCGCAACGAGAATCTTCTGAGTCGACTTACATCAAACTCCACCTGGTCGCCCTCACGAGCATGGGCAGCTGTGATTCTTGAGGCCCCCTCACTATGAGCGAAGACTAATATCAAACTCCACCTGGTCGCCCCTCACGAGCATGGGCGGGCAGCTGTCACGGCTTAGACACCATGAGGGTCACAACGTAGCTGCTGACATAGTAAATAAACCCCCAGGCCACCTCTGCCGAGCATGGGCAGCTGCTGCATTGACCGAGAAAGCTTTACTAGACAACCACCTGGCAGTCCCAGGCGAGCACAGGCAGGTGCTGCAGCGTGGATGTTATGAGGGGCACATCGCAGTGACGAACCTTTTTTACTGGACTTAGAATCATCCCACCTGGTAGTCCCTGGCGAGCACGGGCAGATCTCGCAGCGTGGACGCCATGAAAGGCGCGGCGACGAGGAAGAGCGGAACGAGCTCAACGAGGAAGTGGAAGAAGTTTCTGCCGGGTTGGTGCGCCCAGTTCACCACAGCTGTTGGCAGCTCGTGCACCATGTGGTTCGCCTCGAATGTCTCCTGGTGAAAGGGAAGGGAGTGTACTTTTGAGGCGCCTCAAGAGCGTAACACAGTGCTTGTGGGGGGTCTCGCAGAATTGGCAGCTCGTGTACCATGTGGTTTGCCTCGCCAAGAAGCGCGGGCACCCGTTCCTGGTAAACAGGTGTGTGCGGTCGAGGTTGCGTTGCGTGTTAAGGCCTCAAAATAACCTTCCTCCCCAAAACCCTCCCTCCCGGCAACCCTCCTGGCGGCCCTCCCCCCACACAGATCGCATCTCACCGCTCCGAAGAAGCGCGGGCATCCGTTTCTGATGAACAGGCGTGCGCAGTTGAGGTTGAACCCGTTCTCAAGCCCCTGGAAGCACAACCCCATTCCGGTTGCACAACCCTCCATGTAACCCCCTCTCACCTCTCCAAAGAAGCGCGAGCATCCGTTTCTGATGAACAGGTGTGTGCGGTTGAGGTTGAACCCGTTCTCAAGCCCCTAGAATTACAACCCCATTCCTGTTGCACAACCCTCCATGTAACCCCCGTCTCACCTCTCCAAAGAAGCGCGGGCACCCATTCCTGTTGAACAAGTGCGTGCGGTTGAGGTTGAACCCATTGTCCTTCACATACACGTCCTCCAGCCGCATCCCTCCACCACCCCTCCCTCGCTGACTTCTGAGTCGACTCAAAAGTCAGGTGTGTGCGGTTAAGGTTGAACCCATTGTCCGTCACATCCTCCAGTCGCATCACCTGCAGCGTCCCTCCACCACCCTTCCCTCCTCCCACACAGCTCTCACCTCTCCCTCCCCTCGCCCTCTCACCTCTCCAAAGAAGCGCGGGCACCCATTCCTGATGAACAGGTGTGTGCGGTTGAGGTTAAAGCCATTGTCCGTCACATAAACATCCTCCAGCCGCATCACCTGCAGCACCACCACGCGCCGAGCCGAGATTACAACTTGCAGAGTACGAGGCGAAATCCAAATTCAGCGTCACATACACATCCTCCAGCCGCATCACCTGCAGCGCGGACGCCCCGTGCGGAGTGAAGTCTTTTCTGTGCGAGCACGTCTCGTCGAACAGCGGCCATGACTCCTGCCGTGTCTTGTTGCGCTTAAGGGGGCAGTTTATAGGAGGAGCAATGTCATTCTCGGATCTGTCCACGAGGTGCGGGTTCCAGCAGGCCTGCACGTTGGGGAAGCGGGCGGTGCAGGAGCCGAAGGAGGGGCAGGGAGGGCCGTGGCAGTGGAGCTGTACTGCCCAGTCTGATTCGCTTGAGCCGCTCTCCTTTGACACACTTCCACCACTTGCTTGACCGTTTGGACCATTTCCTTTGCCATTTTGACCGTTTTGTATCGCATTGCCATCCGGGCTGTCTCTAGAGGTGGCTGGCTTGAGTGGATGGATAACGAAGCTGCGTTGTTTCGGCCTGAAGCGAGGGATGTTGTCGAAGAACCCCATCAGCACATTGAGCAGGCGGCCCGTGGAGAGAGGAGAGCCTAGCGGCCGTGTCACGAGGTTGACTCGCTCAGGGTGGGTCCTGGCGTTGTTGAGGGAGGGAGGGGAGGGGTTGGGTGGGGGGCCGAGGGTTTGAAGAATGGATGGAAAGAGAGAGGAGGGGAGAGAGAACTCATTGTGCAGGCGAGCCGTGGAAAGAAGTCATTGTGCAGGCGAGCTGTGGAGAGAGGGAAATTAAAGTAGCGGCCGCGGCATGAGGTTGACTCACTCGCTCCGGGTGGATCCTGGCGTGGCAGGCAGGCAGGCAGGCAGGCAGGGAGGGAGGGAGGGAGGGAGGGAGGGAGGGAGGGAGGGAGGGAGGGAGGGAGGGAGGGAGGGAGGGAGGGAGGGAGGGAGGGAGGGAGGGAGGGAGGGAGGGAGGGAGGGAGGGAGGGAGGGAGGGAGGGAGGGAGGGAGGGAGGGAGGGAGGTGTGAGAAGAAAAGTTAGAAGAGAAGTTGATGGATTGAGGAGAATGGGGGTTTACATAGGGAATGGGTTGGATCCTAGCCTAGGTGACCATTATTGGACCCCACCCATGAAGTTGGGTTGGGGGATTATTGGTGGGGTCCAATAATGTTGGCCAAGTTGGGGTTGGGCCAACATTATTGGTGTGAACCAATAATTCTACCCAACCCAACCTTTGGGGTCCAATAATTGGACCAAGGTTGGGTTTCCAACCTACAAATTGGGTAACCCCTGCTTGTACACCCAAACTAAGTTTGGGTGCTTATCTCTAGCCTATCCTATAACATCTATGCAGGTTACAAGAGAAGATAGATTCTAACACAACCCCTTAACCTGCAGAGATGTGGAAAGGCTTGAGTGAAGCAACCCCTGAATCAAGGCGCGCCTGGGGGAGCGAGGCCGATGAGGCGGAGAAGAGCAGAGTGCGCAGGGCGAAGAAGTGCTTTGGTGAAGATATCTGCCAAGTTGGCTTCAGCGGCAATCTTGCGAACGGCAATGAGATTCTGTTGGACGAGTTCACGGATGAAGAAATAGCGGAGCTCAATGTGCTTGGAGCGACCGTGAAAAACGGGGTCTTGGGTGAGATGGATGGTGCTGGCATTGTCACACCAGAGGGTGGGGCAGCGCTGGGGAACACCAAGCTCAGCCAGGAGGAAGCAGAGCCAGCGGGACTCTTGCGCGGCCATGGTGCCAGCATAGAGCTCAGCTTCACAGGAGGAGAGGGCGATGGCGGAGGAGCGAGTAGAGCGCCAGCTGATAAGGCCGCTACCGAGGGTGAAGCCATAGCCTTGGGAGGAGCGGCGGTCTGGCTGGCAGTCTGCCCAGGAGGAGTCGCTGAAGCCAGAGAGAGGGGGGGGGGAAGATCCACCCAGCGTGAGAGCGTGGTCCCTGGTGCCACGAAGATAGCGGAGGACTCGCTTGGCGGCAGTCCAGTGTTCCTCAGTGTGGCGGCCGGGGCCGACGAATCGAGCAAGGACGCTGACAGGGTAGGCGAGGTCGGGACGAGTGCACATCATCGCGTACATCAGCGACCCAACAAGCTCGGCGTAGGGCCGGGAGGAGGTGGAGGGGGAGGTGGGTGGCGCAAGCTGGTGACCGAAGGGGAGGGGTGTGGAGACTGGTTTGGCCTGTGCCATCTCGAACTTTTCCAGGACCTGGCCGATGTAGTGGGACTGGGAGAGGGTGATGGTGCGGGCGGATCGATCACGAGTGATAGCCATGCCGAGGTAGTTCTGCAGCGGACCAAGGTCCTTGCACTTGAGACGTTCCTGAAGAGACCATTTCACTTGATCCATGTCAGCCCTGGTGTCAGCGAGCAGGATCATGTCATCGCCGTAGACCGGGGTGAAGAAGCGACTGGGGGAAGAGCGGATGAAGAGGCTGGCGTCGGAGTGGGAGGGGGAGAAGCCAAGGGACTGGAGAGTAGCAGACAGCTTCGCATGCCATTCTCGTGGTGCCTGCTTCAGGCCGTAGACCGGTCGCTTCAGCTGCCAGACGGTGTTGTCGGGGAACGTAGCATGGAACCCGGGAGGTCGGCGGAGAAAGATGCGTTCGTGCAGTTCACCTTGCAGGAAAGCGTTGGAGACGTCTATGGAGTCAATCTCCATGTTGTCCCGCACACCGATATCCATAAGGGTGCGTAGGGTGGCTTGCCTGAGGGTGGGGGCAAATGTGAACCAGTAGTCCTCAGCCCAGGTCTGGGTGAACCCCTTAGCAACATAGCGGGCTTTGTAGACTGGTTCCTCTCCCGGCAGCTGTTTGACTCGAAAGATCCACTTGCCCTCGACAAGGTTGGCGTCAGGGGGAAGGGGAACGTCGATAAAGGAGTCGTTGCGGATGAACGCCTCACATTCCAGGAAGATAGCGGCTATCCACTTGTCAGCGTCAGGGCAGGTGATAGCCTCCTGGAAGGTGGTGGGGACGAAGATGGTGGGAGCGGAGATCGCGCTAAGGAGTAGAGCGCCGAGGAGGTCAGGGTAGAGGGTGGAAAGAGAGGGAGTGTGGCGCTGGACCATGGCGAACTCCTCATGGGAGTCCTCGAGCTGGCTGAGGGAGGAAGGTGGCGGAGTGCCAAGGATGGGATCAAGAGAGCGGGTGTGCATGCGAGGGAGGAGGAAAGGTGAGGAGCGGGCAGTTGCCCTCTGCCGCTGTTGCTGCTGGTGCTGCTGGAACCCCTGCTGCTGCTGCGGCTGCTGCCCCTGCTGCTGCTGTTGCTGCTGCTGCGGCTGCTGCTGCGGCTGCTGCTGCTGCTGCTGCGGCTGCTGCTGCTGCTGCTGCGGCTGCTGCTGCTGCCCCTGCTGCTGCTGGTGCTGCTGCTGTTGTGGCTGCCCCCGCTGCTGCTGCTGCGGCTGCTGCTGCTGCTGCGGCTGCTGCTGCTGCCCCTGCGGCTGCTGCTGCTGCCGCTGCTGCTGCTGCCCCTGCGGCTGCTGCTGCTGCTGCTGCTACTGCTGCTGCGGCTGCTGCTGCTGCTGCGGCTGCTGCTGTTGCTGCTGGGATGGATGAGAAGGAGAGTGGGAAGGAGAGGAGGGAGGGGGAGCCGCGGAGTGTGCAGGGGATGCTGGAGCAGTGGGATCGTAGATATCGGCAGATGAAGGTGGCGGAAAGCGGGGTGGGGAGGGGTGGGAGAAGAGGTGCTGGAGGGAGGAGGGGAGGGAGGACAGTGTCGGTCCAAGTGAGAGGACGTGTAGGAGGAGGGAGGGGGTCTGGTGGTGGAGAGGAGTAGTATGGGGTGGTCTCATCGAACACAACGTCGATGCTGCGGATGAGGCGACCAGAGAGAGGGTGGAGGAAAAGGTAACCAGGCGAGTCGCGGTTGTGGCCAAGGTAGACACACTCGAGGGCACGAGGAGCGAGCTTGCCGTAGGTCCGTTCAGATGGAAGGATGAGCACATATGCCTTGCAACCCCAGACACGGAGTCCAGCAGCATCAGGTTTGGACCCTGACCAGAGCTCCGTGGGGGTAGTGGCAGTGTGTTGGGGATGGGAGTGAAGGTTGAGGAGGAGGGAAGCATGAAGGAGGGCATAGCCCCAGAGAGAAGGGGGTGTGGAGGCGTGAGCGAGGAGACAGCGGGCGATCTTAGTAATTTCGCGGATGCGGCTTTCTGCGATGCCGTTCTGTTGTGGGAGTGGGGAAGAGTGTGGGTCTGTTGGATGCCATGAGTGGTGCAGTAGTGAGAGAGAGTGCGATTGAGGAATTCGCCTCCCCCATCAGAGTGGAGGCGGCCGATGGGACGTTTGAAGTGGGTGCGGCATTGTTCTGCCCAGCGAATGATCATGGTCGGCGCCTGATCTTTTGTGTGGAGGAGGAAAACGGTGGAGTAGCGGCTATGATCGTCAACAAGAACCAGCATGTAGCGATGGCCTTGGCGTGAGCGGGTGGGAGAGGGCCCCAGAGGTCCATATGGATGAGGCCAATTGGTGCAGGAGCAAAGGAGGGGTGGCTGTGATGAGGGGATTGTTTGAGTTTGCCGTGGATGCAGGAGGGGCATGGGGGGGCAGGGGAGGAGGGAAGGGGAGGAAGGGTGGGAGGGAGGCTGTGAAGAAGTCGTGAGGTGACGGCAGTGCGGAGAGCAGCGAAATTGGGATGACCGAGTCGGTGATGTAGGAGAACAGCGGGGTGGGAGAGATGGTCGGAGGTGGAGGGGGCTGGAACGAGTGAGGGCGGGATGAAGGAGTGGGGGGATGGTGGAGTGGGAGGGGAGGGAGGGAGATGGGGAGGGCTAGTGGAGGTACCCGCACGAGTGGTGACATGACAGGAGGATGGCCACGGAGTGCGGAGAGTGTAGAGGCGAGTGCGGGGGCAGAGGGGTATGCGGAGGAGGAAGCGGCCGGAGGCAGTATGGTAAAGGTCACAGTAGGTGGCATTACCAGGATAGACCGCAGTGATACCTGCACCTTGGATTTCACGGTGGGAGAGGAGGTTGTTTCGGAGAGTGGGGATGTGGAGACCAGTTACCTTACCAGAGGGGAAGAGTGAGCAGGGGAGAGTGGAGAGGTGTGTGCATGGGATGGTGAAGCTGCTGTCAGCACCGTGAACTTGAGTGGGAGGGGAGAGGGGTGTGAGTGTACCAGCATCTTTGAGAGCAGTTTCAGTGGCCCCACTGTCTAGGACAAAGTCCAGAGTGGGCGAGGAGGAGGAAGACACGGAGTACTGGAAAGTGGTTTCATTAATGTTGGATGGGTACATGGAAGGAAGAGAGGGTGAGACAGAAATGTTGCCAAGAAAGCTTTCCTGAGTGAGAGGGGTGGCAGTGCCACTGGGGGGGGGGTGGAGCACCCCAAAGGGAAGTCGGGGAGGCCTGGGCGGCCATGGCTGCTGTGCCAAAGTTTAGCTGCTGCTGCTGCCAGGGAGGAGGGCTGGGTCCCCACTGGGGCTGGGGCCCTGATCCCCATGGGTGCTGCTGCTGCGGCTGTGGGTAAAACAGCTGCTGTAACTGCTGCTGCTTGCTGCTGCTGCTGCTGCTGCTGCTGCTGCTGCTGCTGCTGCTGCTGCTGCTGCTGCTGCTGCTGCTGCTGCTGCTGCTGCTGCTGCTGCTGCTGCTGCTGCTGCTGCTGCTGCTGCTGCTGCTGCTGCTGCTGCTTCTGCTGCTGCTGCTGCTGCTGCAGGAGGTGCTGCTGCTGGAGGTTGAGGAAGGGCGCGGGGGGAGCAAGGAGGCGGAGGTGGGTGGGGAGGTAAGCAGGGTTGGTTTGGATGTCAGTGGGGGAGGGACGTGGGGAAATTGTTCCCCACTTTGGAGGATTGCCAACGTTGCCTCGTGCGTACCAAGCATCATCGAGGGCCTTGAAGCAGGTGGCAGGAGGGTGGTTGGTCTGTCCGCAAGGAGTGCCAGCCCGGGGACCATAGCGGCGGACATAGGTGCAGGGCGGAAGAGTACCAGGGCGGGTCCCACTGCTTGCAGGGGCTCCGCCTGTATTGGGGGTGCCATGCTCATCTCCAGTGGTGCCGCTGCGTCTGTTCGCGTTGCTGCTGCCTTGACCGCTACCTCCCTTGCCTCCACCACCCCCCTTGCCGTTGTTCTTGCCCTGCTTGCGGGGCTGAGTAGCGTTGAGGGAGGAGGAGGAGGAGGGTTGGGAGGAGGCGAGGTTGACGACGGGGGTGCGAAGTTTGACTTCGGTGTCTATGATCCACTGTTCAACGGAGGCGAGATCGGCTAGGGGATTGGCCTCGGTAAAGGCGTGAAGGCGGGATTCATAGTCGGGAGTGAGGTTAAACAGGAGGCGATGGATTTGGAGAGGTTCGGAGAGGCCGGCTTGGCGGGCTTCGAGACGATCAGCTACCTCCCGCATGCGTCCGATGTAGTCGACCGCTCCGTCACAGGTAGCAAGGGTGATTGAGAAGTATTCTTGGAACAGGATACCGACCGAGCTGATGTCGCGGCGTTCGAACATCGCATGGAGTTCTGCCCAGATGACCGAGGCCCGAAGCTCTCGAGCCTGGAAGCGGCGCATGAGGGAGTCAGGGAGAGCCCCAAGGAGAACGGTGCAGGCACGAGTGTCAGCAGTTGTCCAGGCGATAAGTTTCGGGATGTGGGTGGCCATGTCGTCTTTGTATTTGGCGACGACGGCGAGGTGAGCGTTGCGGCCAGCAACCGCCTGGTCATAGGCTTCGACTGCTGCATCGTACTCTGCTTTCTTGATAAGGTACGCACGGCGGCGTAAGATGAAGTCTGCATCAGCGGTGGCTTGGTCGCCTGTGCGTTGGAGGTCGGGTTCAAGAGGAGGATCGCCGGGAGAGGGAGGGAGAGGAGTCTCGCCTGGGTGTTCAGGTTCGGTGGGGGGGAGTGCCTGGGGACGGCGGAGGAGGACATCAAGGACACGGTAGGGGGGAACCCATGCGTCGGAGAGAACTCGTCGGATGCTGCCGACGAAGGAGTGCCAATTGACGGCGGATTTGTCTGCGGTAAGCTGCAGCTTATCGACGGAGGACGTATCAATAGGAGGAGGGAGGGGGGCGGGGGAAGGTGCGGCGGTAGCCATGAAGGACGGCCGCGGGGGGACCTGCAGTGGTCACGGAGGAGAGGGAGGTGAGGCGGCGACGAGGCCGTAGAGGGGAGCGGCGCGGACGGCGGCGGCTAGTGGAGCCGCAGTGGCGTTGGCGCGGAGGCGGCGACGAGGCCGCGAGGGGAGCGGTGCTGGCGGCGGCGGCTGACGAGGCCGCGGCGGCGCTGGCGTGGAGGCGGCGCTGGCGTGGAGGCGGCGTTGGGGCCGCGGAGAGGCGCAGGCGGCGGCGGCAGCTGGCGCAGCCGCGGAGGTGCAGGCGCGGAGGCGGCGACAAGGCCGCGGGAGGGAGCGGCGCGAGCGGCGGCGGCTGGCGAAGCCGCGGCAGTGCAGGCGCGGAAGCGACGACGACAAGGCCGCGGGAGGGAGCGGCGCGAGCGGCGGCGGCTGGCGAAGCCGCGGCAGTGCAGGCGCGGAAGCGGCGACAAGGCCGCGGGAGGGAGCGGCGCGAGCGGCGGCGGCTGGCGGAGCCGCGGCAGTGCAGGCGCGGAAGCGGCGACGAGGTTGCGGGAGGGAGCGGCGCGAGCGGCGGCGGCTGGCGGGGCCGCGGCAGCGTTGGCACGGAGGCGGCGTCGAGGCTGCGGAGAGGCGCGAGTGGCGGCGGCGGCTGGTGAGGCCGCGGCGACGCAGGCGCGAAGGCGGCAACGAGGCCGCGGGAGGGAGCGGCGCGGACGGCGGTGGCTGGCGAAGCCGCGGCAGTGCAGGCGCGGAAGCGGCGACGGGGTCGCGGGAGGGAGCGGCGCGAGCGGCGGCGGCTGGCGAAGCCGCGGCAGTGCAGGCGCGGAGGCGGCGACGAGGCCGCGGAAGGGAGCGGCGGCGGCGACGGCGGCTGGTGGAGCCGCAGTGGCGTTGGCGCGGAGGCGGCGTCGAGGCCGCGGAATGGGGCGGGCGGTGGCGGTCGGCGGGACCGCGACAAGGCGAGCGCGGAAGCGGCGGTGGGGCCGGGGAAGGGAGCGGCGCGGGCCGTGATGGCGTGGGAGGCCGTGGGGCTGCGAGGAAGGGAGTGCTTGAGGAGAGGGGGAGGGCGGCGAGATAGCCGCGGAAAAAAAAATGAGAAAGGAGGCCGGGGGTTGCGGCGGCCTTTGAAAAAAAAAAAAAAAAAAACTAGGAGCGTAGGCCTAGGATTTTTAAGAGCTCTATACCATGTGAGAAGAAAAGTTAGAAGAGAAGTTGATGGATTGAGGAGAATGGGGGTTTACATAGGGAATGGGTTGGATCCTAGCCTAGGTGACCATTATTGGACCCCACCCATGAAGTTGGGTTGGGGGATTATTGGTGGGGTCCAATAATGTTGGCCAAGTTGGGGTTGGGCCAACATTATTGGTGTGAACCAATAATTCTACCCAACCCAACCTTTGGGGTCCAATAATTGGACCAAGGTTGGGTTTCCAACCTACAAATTGGGTAACCCCTGCTTGTACACCCAAACTAAGTTTGGGTGCTTATCTCTAGCCTATCCTATAACATCTATGCAGGTTACAAGAGAAGATAGATTCTAACAGGAGGGAGGGAGGGAGGGAGGGAGGGAGGGAGGGAGGGAGGGAGGGAGGGAGGGAGGGAGCGAGCGAGGGAGGGAGGGAGGGAGGGAGGGAGGGAGGGAGGGAGGGAGGGAGGGAGGGAGGGAGGGAGGGAGGGAGGGAGGGAGGGAGCGAGCGAGCGAGGGAGGGAGCGAGGCAGGCAGGAGGGAAAGAGGGCGGGAGGGCGAGAGGGCGAACTTACCTGAACGGTTAACAAAGATTTTTTTTTTTTTTTTTTTCGCCAGACGATTGACCGAACAAAAGGTAAGCCAAGTATTCGCCAAGTATTCGTCCAATGACCTGAAGTTCCATGGCAAGTAATAGCCAACTGGCTGAAGTTGATATTAGGCTTCGCCTACAGAGCAAAATTTCTAGCCAACTGACCTGATTCGTTGCGGCAGGTGATAGTTGAGCTCGCCTTCGAACTGGGCCACTCTACCCACGAAATAAAGTTGCGGCGATTCCTGGCCGTTGATCGCTGCTGGTAATCACACGGGAAGATCAAGGGGAAGAGTGGGACTCTGGGAGAGATAATGGGCCGCGGGTGGCACTATTAGGGTGAGGGGACTTTTGAGGCACCTCGAAAGTGAAAATGGCCTGCGGTTACTACCTTTAAGATTAGGGGAGTTTTGAGGCGCTTGAAAAGTGAAAATGGGGTGCGGTAACTACTATTAGAAGGGGGGGAGTTGAGGCACCTTGAAAGTGAAAAAGGGCGGTGGTTAATTACTACTACTAGGTGAAGGGGCTGGAGGCGCCTCAAAGTTGAAATTGGATGTAGTGAGTGCTATAAGGGTAAGGACAGTTGAGGCACCTTGAATGTGAAAATGGGCTGTGGTCACTACTACTGTTAGGGTAAGGGGGCTGCAGGAGCCTCAAAGGAGAAAATGGGCTGTAGTAAGTGCTATGAGGGTAAGGAGGGTTGAGGCACCTGAAAGTCAAAATGGATGGGATGTGGTTACTACTATGAGGATGGGGGGAGTTGAGGCGTCTTGAAAGTGAACATGGGCTGTGGTTACTAGCTATTAGGGTGAGGGAACTGGAGGTGCCTCAAAGGTGAAAATAGGCTGTAGTAAGTGTTAGGGAAAGGAGAGTTGAGGCACCTTGTAAGTGAAAATGGACTGTGGTTACTACTATGTTAGGGCAAGGGGGCTGTAGGAGCCTCAAAGGAGAAAATGGGTTGTAGTAAGTGCTATGAGGGTAAGGAGGGTTGAGGCACCTGAAAGCCAAAATGGATGGGATGTGGTTACTACTATGAGGATGGGGGGAGTTGAGGCGTCTTGAAAGTGAACATGGGCTGTGGTTGCGACTACTAGGGTTACGGAACTGGAGGCGCCTCAAAGGTGAGAATGGGTTGGTTACTAATGTTAGGGTTAAGGGAGGGGCGTTTCAGAAGTGAGAATGGGCTGAGTTACTACTACTATAGTAGGGGGAGAGAGTGGACGGAGCGCTGCGGCAGCGTCGCGTACATGCATTGACGGAAATCGTCAAGATGACGGCGACCACCCATAACAGGCGGCGACCAAGGCGCGTCACCATCGTTACGCCCCCGTCAATATCATACAGAAGGAATGGCGACTGCTACTACAACACAAAGATGTGCTAAGAGCAGTTCTAAGTGCATAGAGTGGCCCAGAAAGCAGCACATTTCGAGGTGAGGTCCCCTCAGATCATG